GAATTTGTGGCCTAAACTTGGGTCAGTATTTAGCCCTGGGATGAGTTTTAGGTTTTAGGTTTTGTTTGGGCCATGGGTTGGGTTTTTTTTTTGGGGGGGGGGGGGGGGAGGGGAATTATAAGTTTTAGCCTAGTGTTGGAGTGGTTCTAAGGGGTGAGGGAGTGGGCTAATACCATCTCCAACCCTTGGGGATAAAGCTTAAAAATTTAAAACAGAAAATTTTAAGACATAGCCCATAAACTACTTTTCTCCTCCAACCCTTATGGCTTAAAATTTTGGTCTAAAATTATTATATAATGATTTTAGCCTTATTTTTGGTAACTTTTTTGAAAATAAAATTGATGTAGATTATCTTAATTTATGTAGAACATCCCTTTCAATTTTACACCCAACAATAAAACACCCTATTTTTCCTCTAAAATGGCATAAAAATTCCTAATATTTCTCACTTACCCACTTCTTACATATCCACATTTCAAGTCAGAATTCGGTTTGGCGGGTTTGGATAGTAACTCTTAGATGAGGTGCAAGAATCACCTTTTTGACCTTACCAGCACCTTGAGCATCTGAGCCTCCTGTCTCCGAGATTGCCTCAACGCCCTCATTGAGGCCCAAATCTGAGTCCAAGCCCATCTCTTAAGACTCCACTCTTGGACCACCATCACGACAACATTCGATGAATCGAAATGTAATTCTAACCCAACCCTTTGCCGTTTGTCTTCCCCTCTTTTGTCTCCCTTACCTCTCTTGAAGAAAATCGGGCGATTCCACATGTTTGACGTCACGATGACGTCAACATGATGTCAGATCCACTTAGGTGTATACTCGAGCACTAGTTGCCTAATTGAATATCAGTAAAAAACTGCGTTGACCAAAGAAGTCAAAATCGGAACACAAATCGAACCGAACCATCTCAAACCAGTTTTGGTTTTGGTTTAGAAATAATAAGAACCGAACCGAATCACTTTTAATATAAATTATTATTTTATTACTATTTTTATATAAATAAGATATTTGTCCAAGGTCATATGCATAAGCCCGATATTTTTCCTTACTTATCTCCCCCTCCTTTCTTGTTTATCACTTCTCTCCCACTATTTTATTTTTCTCATTCTTTTCTAGTATATTATGCATTATGTATACTTTAGTTTTAGTTTAGGATGTACACTTTGGTCTTGATCCGAACCTTTTTATTTTTTTATTTATATTTATATGTACACTTTCTATCTTCTAGTCACAATCTTGTAGACCTAGTAGTGGGAACTCAAATTTGCTTGAATTTTTTGTTGAAGTATGTGCTTGGTATTGGAAGTAGAAATTTGGAGGATATATATATAAAATTTTGGGGTTAGATCAATTAGACCAACATGAACCGAACCATACGGTTTAGTACCAAATTTAAGCGAAACCGCACCGAACTGAATTGTTAATATTTTTCAATTTTGATTCCTGTCTGAGGGTGGAACCAGACTGAACCAGACAGTGCCCACCCCTTATTGGGTATAGGGTGGAGCTCCTCTAAAGTGTCCACGCATTAAAAAGCATTACACGCCATCTCGCCCTCTCACATGTTAATCGATGTGGATGTTTGCGGTAAAATTCAATAGGAATTATTAGTTTGGCTCCTCAATGAATGAGGAGTTTCATCTCAATTCGCTACATGATCATTTTACGAAACTTCATATTTATGATCAGAGCCGAGCCCTATATACAAAGGAGAAGAAGACATGGTGAGGGTAAGTTCCATGCAATCAAATAATTAATATATTAATTAACCAAAAGAATAAGTTTGTTTTAAACGTTGAGTTAGTATTGGGCCTCTAAGTCCAATAGGCACGAGTAACACCTGGGCTTCCAGATGTTGGTTGGTCGAAATCAAGGTGTTTGTTTTGGTCATATGATATCAAAGAACGCCTCTGGAAGCGACTCTAAAGTTGGAAGGGCAAACTAGTAAGTGCCACCAACACCAGCAAGGAACTTCTAGTCAAAGTAGTGGCGCAGGGCATCCCGCTGTACATATTGAGTTGTTTCCTTCTACCTCAGTATTTCTGCGAAGATCTAAATCGACTATTACCAAAGTTCTAGTGGAACGGAACGGATGACGGAAAGAAAATACATTGGCTATCATCGTACAAATTGTTTATATACACACCAAAGGAAGGAGGAGGGTTGGGATTCAAGAATATGCATGCATTTAATTCGGCTTTAGGCTTTCGGCTTTTACTAGCTAAATAAGGGTGGAGGCTCATTCAAAAGCCCAATTCATTGGTGGCAAGTCCTCAAAGCAAAATACCACCCTAACACAAATTTTTTGGAAGCCCAGCCGACAAATAAGGAAAAGCATGTGTGCAGCCAGGGAGGTCATTGCAAAAGGTTCAAGATTGCTTGTCGGCAACAGAGAGAAGATTTTTTTTATTTTTTTTGGTTAAACGATAAATTTGTTAGATTAGATTATGGAAAGATTGTTGGATCCCGGATCCAGACAGCCTTTAAGTCTTCTTACCCAAGCCTTTGGATGGTGAAGTGGTTCTCGTTAGTGACCTCATTGATGTAAAGAGTAAGCAGTGGATTCTCCCCTTACCCAAGCCTTTGGTTGCTGAAGTGGTTCTCGTTAGTGACCTCATTGATGTAAAGAGTAAGCAGTGGATTCTCCCCCTTGTTCGCTCTTGGTTGTCTGAGATGAAAACTAATCTTATTCAATCCATATCATACCGCTGAGCTTCCAAAATTCAGAGGACTAACTTGTATGGCATTGTGATAGAAAGGGCCTATTTTCGGGGGGAGGAGCGGGACATCAAAGGGTAAAAGATCCTAAAAAATTTAGACAACCAAATAGTGGACAATATTAATGTTTGTTATAATTCGTACCTATCGAATGACCAAAATGCCCCTGGTGATGGTGTCTTGAATAAATATAGGTTGAGTTGTGATTTTCGGGAACAGAAAAATGATAAAATGTTGTTATATATGATAACCATTGACTCTCTACTGCACATTTTCAAGAATGATCAGGAGAAAGCTCATACGCCTATTGGTTTTTAGTTCCAGTTTATCGAGAGAAGCACTTGTTATACTTGGTCATTTACTAATTTGAATTCCTTGTATAGTTTGTTGTACAAACCAAAATCTATATGTATTAGTCCTATATATAGTTCTTTTAAATACCAGAGTGCTCCTAAACCTTATATGGCTTAAGATCATAAATTCATGAATTTCATGATAAGAACTGATTAATAAAAAAGTCCAGATTAAAAGAAACAAAAAAGAGAGGAATAAAAAGAAAAATTTAGCACAATAATGCCTAAATAATAATAAATTGTTTATTTTTGCTGCCTTTTTTTTTACTGTTTTACTTAGGGATGCGTTGCTGCACCTTTGCTCTGATTGGAAGTTGATAAAAAAAAAAGGAAAACTAATGAAAAAAGCTTGAAAACTTTGAGTTTTAATGATAAGGACAAAATAAAGGGTAAAGTGAATAGTACCAGGATTGACTTTTTAGTGTAAAAATATGGTTTTTCGTTAAAGTGAACAGTACCGGGTGCTTTTCGTTAAAGTTCCCTAAAAAAAAAGGTCAGAGAGAGAGATCGAAGGGAACGGGCCAATTAGGGACATGCGGTCCCATATACAGATTTTCCAACATAAACGAAACGGCGCCGTCTTGTTTTATTTTTTTTAAAATTCTTTTACCAAGGAAAAAACGGCGTCGTTTTGTCTTGGAATTAGAAAAAAAAAATTAATAACTCAGCTCTGCTGTGCAGCAGCAGAACCAGAACCGGACAACAGCAGCAGCAGAACCAGTGGCGAGGGGAGGGGCTGAACCGTGCTCTAGGCGTGTTTTTCCTGCGAGGGGAGGGGCAGTCCCAACTCCTCGCCCTCACGTGGCTTCGCCTATCATGTTGCGTTGGATTTGATCCACAATAAGCGCAATGTTGTATCCTCGTCTAACCCTAACCCTTACTCAATCCGATGGAAGAAACTGTGGGATGCTCGTGCTCCCGTGAAGGTTTGTGCATGGCGAATTTGCAACGACAACCTTCCTGCTCGTGTTCTCGTGAAGGTTTGTGCATGGTGAATCAACACTACACCTTATGCGGAACAGCCATTTTTCTATCCGTGCTTGGTTTCGGCACCAATTGGTCACACACCACGTGGAATATCTATGAAGCTCAATGAAGCTTTGGGTTTTGTATTTAGCTTCCCTTCTCAACATCCAAAATTTCAAGGCGTTGCAGGGGACTTTATCGCGGCCTAAATGTTGCGTTTTGAAAATGTTCTTTCGCGGTTGCAAATCGAGGCATTGGCAGTTAGAGTGTTGAAAATGAATCTCATATCGATGGGGGAAGAAACTTTGCATGAGCTTATAAGTAAATTGAACTACTCTTCATATTAAAAATTGGTTTTAAGATGTAACCTGAACTTTCTTCACAAAGAAGAGCTGCTTTGGCGGTGGGGAGAGGGGATTACATTGCAAAATACCGTTTTAGAGTGTGATTCACTCCAGATCATTACAGCAATTCAGGAGCATTCTACCAATATACGTCTAGCAGTCTACACTCGGAAATATTGTGGAGGATACCAAAGTCCTGCTATCTCAGATCACTGGAGCTATGTCCGCTCATGTGCGCGGCCATGCAAACGAGACGGCTGATTGTCTTACTCGCAACGCTCTCCACGGAGTCTCTCGAGATCGTCGTTTGAGGAATCCCCAGGCATCATGGAAGAAGGTAATTGATTGAGCTGGGTTATCTTCCACTGTACCTTGTGCTGTACTGTATGTGTTAACTTTGATGGTAAGCAACAATACATCATTACAAAAATCTTTTCAAAAAGCGATCCAAGTTGAGTTGCCCACGTCACACGCACAGCAACCGAAAAGGAATCCCCTCGTCGTATTTGCCGTATCTTCCCTTCCAAAAAACTTCACGTTCGTAGCAGACTCCAAAAACACAGATTTAAATCCCAGATTTGATATTATTCACCAAACATACAACCAACCAAAATTACAAAAAGAAATTTCCATTCCTGCCATTTTTTATTTATTCCTTTTCTTCTCTATTGTAAACCTGAAGCTTTTGCTGGCATTTGCATTACATTTAGGGGAATGAAAAACATATATTACATATTATATATAAAATATTATACATGACCAAAAATTTTAGATTAAAGAGGGGAAAAAACCCAAAAAAAAGCCATCTCATAGAGCTAAGATCACACACACTTTTGATCTTATGTATAAAACATTCAAACTCAGAGTCATCACATTCACAATCCCTCAGAAAAAAGGTGGTCTTGCACTTGCACTACTTCTCTCCTTGGCTTTAACTTCCTTGGACTTAGATTTCAATCTCTCTCTTCTTCTTCTAACTTGTCTTTTTTTTTTTCCTTTTTTTTTATATATATGTGTAATCTCATTCGATTTCTAAGCGGCTGCCACTGTGCCTGTATGGACAGGATAATCCTGTGCGGTGGCGGTGTTGGCTGAGTTGTTTGATTTCCTTTGCTCTCTTTTTCTCAGCGCTTTCATGGAGGAAGAGAGGTTCCAGTTCTTCTCCTTCGCCTCGTCTATTTCTATCTGCTCATCTCTGCACTCCTCACTGCAGAACGGAGTGTCACCTCTGCAAATATTAAACCAATCATACAGAAATTCAGAATCCAACAACCATTTTATTATTTACCGAAAACACAACAAACCCACTTCCATTTCTTCCAAATCTAAATAACCCACATCAAGAAAACTTAAATCAAAACTAAAACAACGGTTTTTCTCAGATCCACCCAATTTTCTGTTTGGCTGTGGAGAAAAAAAAAAGGTGGGATATTTCTCCCGTTTTCCGGGAAAAATGTTCAGATTTCCACGAACCCACACATTTATTTGCTCACAAAATTCAACCTAAATAGCCAATTTTTGAAAAGAAAAAAAAAAGGGAAATTGATCAATGATTTGAAGTGGGTAATCAACCAACCTGTACATGAAGATGTCTCTGTTATCACCGAGTGGTTTCTTGCAGAGGAAACAAGCATCCAAGAAATGGGGCTGGTGGTGCTCCTCAAACCTGGCGTCACAGAACCTCCCAGATCTCGGCGAAAAAGAAGACGACGAAGAAAACGAAGCCATGGCGGGAGAAACGTTTCTGAAGCTGCCACTCCGCCTCGCGAAACACATCGGCCTTGAATAAAACGGGTGGTTGGACCCGGAAAACCCGGCTTCCATATCAGCCAGCGAGGCCAACCCATCGTCCTCGTCGATGAAACAAGGCCGCCTTACAGCGCCGGAAACTGATTCCATTTCCTCTGAAGTTCAGATGATCTCAGTGCTGGAATGCGTTTGGCAGAAGAGAGAACGAAACGGCGAACAGAGAGAGATGTGGTTAATGAGGAGAAGGTAAAGCCTTTTTAAAAAGAGAGTTGGTGTGAGAGGAGAGAGAGAAAGCCTAGAGAGAGAAAGAGATGTAAACAACAAACAATAAACAAACGGCAGATTTGTGAAATCCATTGGCTCAAAATACCTGCATTCCCTAAGTTCCAAATATTTAAGTCACAAAACTCTCACCCTCATCCTCCAATAAATTACGTGTGTGCCATCACCGCCAGAATGGGCGGTGCCACAGAATCAGTGGCTATTTCGTAGTTTTGAGAAACACAAGGGCTAAAGGTCAAGACAGTGTGTTGTCGTATCCGGGGTCCGAGATCTTTCACAGTTCTCCAGTTTTGCGCTCAAAGCAAGTGGGACCCGCGTCGGGCGACCTAATTGTACTCAATGATACGCTCTAACGTCCGTTGGAGTGGAACTGAGGAGGGAGAAGGGGCGGTACCACGCGCCAGTACATTGCGCGTCAACGTAACAGTCACACCGCCCTTTGTACTTCATTTACCTTTTGATTTTTTTTTTCTAGTATAAAAGAAATAAAGTTCCACAACTTGACCGTAATTAGTGTAGTATCAAATGTGTACTGCTGTTTTTTTAGAGAAAGTACAATCTGTTAGTTTGGTAGGTGGAGAGCAATTTACGTGAAATAGGAAACCAATATAAATTTCCATCGACCTTTTTTTTTCTGTTTCTTTTGTTTCATGGTTATATTTTTGTTCATCACTTTCATGTAGTAGTGTTCATTACTTTATTTATAATCGTTAGATGAATTGAAATTTTTAAATTTTAATCTATCCACTATACAAATTTTGAAATTTAAACACATTTAATAGTTATAAATAGGATGATGGAAATTATCATCACTTAAGAATGGTAAGCAAAAATATTCCATTATTTAATTGCAAATATCATTACATCCAATATTTTCAAATATGACGCTATGGACAACAATTTTTTAGATTAAATTTTATGAACCATATGACGTGGTCGATGATTATTTAATTACCTAAGTTTGTCAAATGTTTTTAAGAGATACCAAATGTCAGGAGAGATGAAATTTGGCACTAATCTTGTAAGTTCTTATATTCGAATAGTTTATTTTTGTTAATCAAAACAAAATTTATATGTAGTCTAATATTTTAGTGAATAGAGTGTTAGATTTCACTCATATGTTCCGTGTTCAAAACTTTCCCTCTTCATAATTATTGTAATAGTTTCGAATTCCCTTTCCCCTTAATAATAATCAAACAAAATTTGAAGTTAAACGATAAATTGTATTAGCATAAAATGACTTTGCGAAAAGGTTGATTAGCTAAAAAAAGTTTTGAGTAAAATGAAATAATGGAATAAGTTACTTTTTAAACATGGTTTAATGCGATTGTCCATTTTAAGAAATTTCTTGCGACGTTCCATGTCCTTGTTTAGAAGAAAAAGTTTGTTCGTTCTAATAACTTTCCACACTTGGCATTAATTCCCATGTTTGATTTTCACTCGCGATTTTGTACAAATGTTTCGTTTTTCCTTTTTGCAAAAAATAAACAACTGATGACAAGTCACGATAGTTATGCACTTTTTTTGGATTATGCGAAATTTCACTTTGGTTGTTTTTTTTCTTCCTGTTATCTACATTAATGGGAATGAGGGTTAGCCTCACAATAAGTTAGCAATAATGTGGTTCAAATTTTCTTACGAAACTTTAATGAAAAACTCCCGATACTGTTCACTTTAACGAAAAACCATATTTTTGCACTAAAAAGTCAATTCTGTACTATTCACTTCACTCTTTATTTTGTCCTTATCGTTAAAACTCAAAGTTTTCAAGCTATTTTCATTAATTTTCTTTGATTAGAATCGATCTTAAAACTTCTCACTTACAAATGCAGTAGGACACCTCAAGACCGTTATATAAATGGCGTATAAATGTCCTGTTTAAAACATCTAGAATTCCCAAATGATTATTTGTTGCAAAAATTCTATAATCATATTTGTATTTCAACGCAAGTCCCCTTCACGCGCTATGAATGCAAGTCATAGTACTATCAGTTCATTTTCTCCTCTCCCCAAAACTCACGGTTTCACTTTTTCCCACCTTGCCCCTCACTCCAACTCCTTTTTCCTCGCTTTAATAATGACGTCACACAACCATCCCATATGCCTTTGTCGTTTTCCTTGGGGTCCCCACATCCCCACAAAACCATCTACTCTGGGCCCCATGGCCCATTATGGTGATGGCGCCCTGTGTACTTCATTTGCCTTCAAGTGAAAATACATACGTGGGTTTCTTTGTCTTTGTTGGCGACTTCCAACATCGCCTCATGGCAAACCACTTTTACTTTTGATTTTTTTTTTCTAGTATAAAAGAAATAAAGTTCCACAACTTGACGATACTTAGACCTGGTTTGGTAATGAGTTAATTATGAAAAAACCGGATATCAAGGTAAGCATTCAGTTTCAGTTTTTTTTTATAGTTTTGGGTGAAAAAAAGTTAAAAACAAGAAGCTGCAAAACCTAACTTTGAAAACTGGCTTTTTTTCACATCTATTTTACATAAAAATTTACTAAACACTATAATACTGCTTTTTTTTTTTCAAAAGCATTTTTACAAAAAAGTTTACCAAACACTCTACAGTTTTATTTCATAGCCGCTTATTCTTACAGCACAGCAAAAACAAATTTTTTTTTTCAAAGCATAACAATACCAAACCAGTAGTATCAAATGTGTACTGCTATTTTTTAGAGAAAGTACAATCTGTTAGTTTGGTAGGTGAGAGCAATTTACGTGAAATAGGAAACCAATATAAACTTCCATCGACCTTTTTTTTTTTTTTTTTTTTTGTTTCATGGTTATATTTTTGTTCATCACTTTCATGTAGTAGTGATGTTCACTACTTTATTTATAATCGTTAGATGAGTTGAAATTTTTAAATTTGTGTCTATTCACTGTACAAATCTCGAAATTTAAACTCATTTAATGGTTATAAATAGGATGATGAAAATTATCATCACTTAAGAATGGTAAGCAAAAATATTCCATTATTTAATTGCAAATATCATTACATCCAATATTTTCAAATATGACGCTACGGACATCAATTTTTTTTATTAAATTTTGTAAACCATATGACGTGGTCGATGATTATTTAATTACCTAAGTTTGTCAAATGTTTTTAAGAGATACCAAATGTCAGAAGAGATGAAATTTGGCACTAATCTTGAAAGTTGTTATATTCGAATAGTTTATTTTCGTTAATCAAAACAAAATTTATATGTAGTCTAATATTTTAGTAAATAGAGTGTTAGATTTTACTCATATATTTCGTGTTCAAAACTTTCTCTCTTCTTAATTATTGTAATAGTTTCAAATTCCCTTTCCCCGTAATAATAATCAAACAAAATTTGTAGTTAAATGAGGAAATTGTATTAGCATAAAATGACTTTGCGAAAAGGTTGATTAGCTATAAAAAGTTTTGAGTAAAATGAAATAATGGAATAAGTTACTTTTTAAACATGGTTTAATGAGATTGTCCATTTTAAGAAATTTCTTGTGACGTTCCATGTCCTTGTTTTGGAAGAAAAAGTTTGTTCGTTCTAATAACTTTCCACACTTGGCATTAATTCCCATGTTTGATTTTCACTCACGATTTTGTATAAATGTTTCGTTTTTCCTTTTTGCAAAAAATAAACAATTGATGACAAGTTACTATAGTTATGCACTTTTTTTGGATTATGTGGAATTTCACTCTGGTTGTTTTTTTTCTTCTTGTTATATACACTAATGGGAATGAGGGTTAGCCTCACAATGAGTTTGCAATAATGTGGTTCAATTTTTCCTTGGAAACTTTAACGAAAAACTTCTGGTACTGTTCACTTTAACGAAAAACCATATTTTTGCACTAAAAAGTCAATCATGGTATTATTCACTTCACCCTTTATTTTGTCCTTATCGTTAAAACTCAAAGTTTTTAAGTCATTTTCATTAGTTTTCATATTTTTCTTTGATTAGAATCGATCCTAAAATTTCTCACTTACAAATGCAATAGGACACCTCAAGACCGTGATATAAATGGCATATAAATGTCTTGTTTAAAATATCTAGAATTCCCAAATGACTATTTATTGCAAAAATTCTGTAATCATATATGTATTTCAACGCAAGTCCCCTTCATGCGCCATGAATGCAAGTCATAGTACCATCAGTTCATTTTCTCCTCTCCCCCAAAACTCACGGTTTCACTTTTCCCCACCTTGCCCCTCACTCCAACTCCTTTTTCCTCGCTTTAATAATGACGTCACACAACCATCCCCATATGCCTTTGTCGTTTTCCTTGGGGTCCCCACATCCCCACAAAACCATCTACTCTGGGCCCCATGGCCCATTATGGTGATGGCGTGGGCCGTGGTAAGTGGTGTTTTGAGAGAGAGAGAGAGAAAGAAAGAAAGCGTTTTTCTTGGGATTAGTTTTTTGTGCGTTGCAGCTCTTTCTCCGAGGTTTTTGTTCCCTCTACGCACAGCTGCTGCCCGAGGGTGCGGGGCAGCTGACTCGTCTGCCCTTTTCCCTTTTAAATGATGATTACTGCTTCACACGTGTGACGGTGCTCGTACCACCACATTGTCTTGGGTTTTGTGATGCTGCCACGCGGTGAGCAACGGACAAAAGTTTCTACGCTCTGTGACTGACTCTGTGACTCGTAGTTAATGTTATTCATATTATGTTTTTATATCATTTCTGTATCATTCTAGGTGACACCTGAGACAATCATATCATTTGAAAAATTTATAAAACTCAAGCAAAGGAAGGAGAAAGACTTCTTGTATACCACAATCATAATTTAATTAACTAATTTTTCTTAATTATTAGCTTATTAAATAATGAACTAAATTTAAAATTTTGATTAATTCAAATGATATGGTTGTCCACATTAAATACCACCTAATGTGATATTAAAATATAATACAAAAATATGATACGAATAATATTACTCATTATTTAAAGTCACCGTGGACGATTCTATTCACTGCTGCCATCAAGCTTTTCTACCCTTCCTTTCACGCCGTTGGATTCCATCACTCTTTTTTTATTATTATTATTAAAAACAATATTATTAAATACTCTAAATT